ATATTCACATATTCATATCATATCATTTCATTATTCTTATTATTATTCTTATCACATAGTTATTTTATTTCTCATGTTCTCATGTAAGCACATATATCATGTCTTGTTTACTTATATTCACATATTCATATCACTTATTCATATCACTTATTCATATCATCTCTCTTTTAATCCCATATTTCTCCTTTTTTGTCACATATCATATGTGCAGATAATCACGTAGTTTACTTTCATATAATTCATGTCACTTATGTTCACATAGCTTGTATCACTTTGCATGGTTTCACATAAACATATATATAAATCACATAGCACCTATAAACTCATATATTTCATAGTTCTTTCACGTAGCTCACTATCATATTTTCATATCATATATCTTATAATAGATTCTTATATCATCTCTTGTTTCCTTTCTACCTATTCACAATCACACTATCATATACACATACAAATCATGTCACACCTACAATAACATAAGTACAATTTAAATTGCACTCACCTTAGCCTTGCTTTGATTTAATCATAATTCTTTGATTGTTCTGGAACTTGTTTAGGCTCAAAATCTACATAAACATAATTTCTGAGACAATTATCAAAAGCCTAAACCTTATAACTTGGTATTAATAATTTAGGCTAATTTAATGAACCAAAATCCATTTTTCCTTTAGGGGTGTATCGATGCACTATAGGTGTATCGGTACACAAAATAGCTTCGAAATTTCCATGCATCGATGCCTACCTGTGTGCATCGATACAAACTGAATAATTTCTGGAAATGTACCCTTGATGCATTGGTACATGTTGAATGTGTATCGATGCACACTAGTCCAAAATTCCCATTTATGCACGTAAATTAATTCATTCTAATTTAATTGTGCCATGTTTTAACCCCTTTCATATCCTTAACTCACATACACATGCTTTAAACTCATTTATATCCATTTATCTCATCTTTAATCTCAAAATTCCATCTTTCATATGGAAATCAATAATCATACCAAATTTTCAAGATACTCTAAATCCAATTCTATCACTTCATATCTCTTAATTAAGTTGATGACAAGTCAAATTTAGTTTCAAATTCTACTTATCAACTCTTTTCCAAGAATTCACTTAAAACCCATTTTCTTTAATCTTTCATAACTTCTTCATCTTTTGATTTTAAGACAACTTAAGCTTTCCTTAAGCTTAGTTATCATCTAATGATCAAAACCCAACCATAAAATCAACAAATAATTAACTAACAAAGGAACTCACATTTGCCTTAGAGCCTCACGTTGGAGATAAGAAGAAGATGAAGAAGATAAGTTTAGGAACTTATCTCTTCAAACATGCATCACATGAGTATTATAAAAAATGGTTGTCCCTTGTTCCCATATGTAATGGGGTAAGGAGGAGGTAAGATAGTAGGTTGCCCCCAACACTAGGTTGAAAGCAGCTTCCGTAGGAGACCTCCAAATTATGAAATACCCTCCATGAGACTCGATCCCACGACCTCAAGGTTAAGAACCTTGTGCTCTACCATCTGAGCTGGATGGTATTATAATACCCACTAATTATTATTTAATTATTTTCCTTGTTAAATGACTCATTTTCCCTTTGACTCCTTTAATATTTACTAACAATTTTGCAGGAAATATCTCCACATAAATCATTGAATTATTTAACTATTTTACTTTTATCCCCAATTTATGAAATTTTACAATTTAGTCACTAACCCGTAGTTTGAGATGTTACAATTTCGATCCATTTGTTGTCATCTGTGAAATCTATCGGCCTTTCACTGATAGCTGCTAGACAACCGTCTTTCCTCAGGATGGCCTTCATCTTCAATTTCCACAATGAGAAATTTCTCCCATTGAACTTTTCAATATCAAATTTCGTCGCCATATATTCTATTACGGATAACTCCCACTATTTCACTATCGTGAATAGTTGTCTGGAACCTTCAAAGAATGTGTAATATCTTCTTACTTTCTTATGTTGGAGGATCCACCTTTTGGTGGCAACCACAAGACAATAAGTAGATATTACACACTCTAATCTGGCTCTGATGCCAATTGTTGCGGAATACAACTATCGGATATAGCAAAATCGCAACTGATAATTTGAGAAAATAAAAATAAAGATAAATAAGACATAAATTTTACGTGGAAAACCCTTAAATAATATAGGGTAAAAACCACGGGTAACGGTAGAAGAATTTCACTATGAGAAAATAAGAATTACAATTTCTCTCGATCTAACAAGGAGAAAATAATGATAATTTTCTCTTAATAAAAAGGAGAAAACAACTCTCAAGAAACTCTCTAAATTCTCTAGTATTGGGAGAAAGCTAGAATGCTTTGGGATGGTTTTGAAGCTAAATGAGATAGGGTATTTATTGTTGAAGTTTAAGGACTAATCTTATAAATATCCTAAAGTTTAGTGACTAGAGTTTGTAATTTGCCCATTTAATTTTCAACCATTGTTGCACCTAATTTTGACATTGTATATTCGGTGCTTAACCCCCCCTTTTTGACAAAAATTAATGCACTTTCGGTGCATTTCAATATCAAGCTGGGGACTTGAACCATTAAAACGAAGCAAAAATCTAGTTAGATGACCGAAAAGAGTTGTTTTTTCTAGCTATGCTTCTTTTTTTTTTGGGTTCTTCAGTGGGATTCTAATGTGGGCCTCATCTGCTAGATGGGGTAATGCAGCTACTGATAAATGAAAAATTGGGCATTATTCTACACATTGTGCTCACTTCTTCTTTGTTCAAGTCGCTTATGCTTTCTTATTTGGCGGCAAGTACAGTCTGGTGATTCCGGTGGGAGGCGCGGAGTTAACTGGTAATGGAGGAGAGCAAACGGTGAGGGTAGCGGTCGAGGGAGAGGCAAAAGAAAAGTTTATTGTTAATTTAATAATTAAAATATTATTTATTTAATCTATTTTATTTATTCAGTTTCAAAAAGAAAATTAAAATGAAGTGGTGACGTGGCGTGTTCTGATTAGTCTGTGAATTTTTTATCGTAAATAATGATTTAAGATAAATGAGATAACGATTTATAGTTAAGAGGACAAAATGTCTCGAAAAACACTTTAGAAAATAACTCGGTATAAATGGTATGATTCAGTGGCAAAGATCATCTGAATAAATAAAGAAGTTGGGGGCCAAGTTATCAATAAATTGGAACAACAAAAATCCCGTGAAAGTGCATAAGCCCCCTTTTCTTCCATTTACTTATCCAAAGTGAAGATAAGACAATCTGCTATTCTGTTCGAGTAAATTATGTCTTTACGGTTTGAGCTAAATTAAGGAGATTCAGATTTGTATATTTGTTCCATTTCACATTGAAGCTGCTTGTAATAGAACAGAACTAATAAACATTTCATTGATAATCTCAAGGAATACAAGGCCTTGACAACGCAACAGAATGATGTCTGCCTTAACAAAACAAAGCTGCAAATCACAGAAACATGCATGATTTATCTATGAAATAAAAGAACAGACTTAAATTATTGTTTGTTTGCCTGAAAATCACGTATGGGTCTTGTTATTTTTATTTAATTTGATTTTTAAATTATAATTATATGTAATTTTTTTATCTTATTATCAATTCTTTAGTATTTTTTAAGCTTATTGTAAAATTAAGTGCTTAAACTATACTCAATGTTAATTTTAGGTGCTTAAGGATTTTTTAATTCAAAATAAATGTCTAACGTTTCCAAAATTATACTTTTTGTACCTAGACTATAAAGACCGTTAAGTGACACATGTCACATTTATATTTTTTAAAAACTTAAAAATAATACGAATTAAAAGTACTCATTTTTTCTAAAATTACAAAACCATCAAAACCATAAAATCCTTCATTTATAACCCTATTACTAGTCTTCGCCGGTTGACCTTTGTCATCGTCAAATGACCACTCACCCGTGGTCGGATCTCCATTGTCATCATACATTTTTTTCATCGTCTTAATCCCCCTAAATCCATAAATTTCTAAAATCTCAAATATTCAATCCCTTAACCCTACTTGCCTCAAAACATTGATTCGTGAATATATATATATATATATATATATCATGCATAGTTGAGTGACTCGACTTAAACTTTAAAATCAACCAATTAATTACTAAAATTTTGAATTATTCTAGTTCTATTTTATGATTCAACTCGAATTTGAAATTTTTCGAGTCGGTTGAGTTTATACAATTACAAATTGAATCAAAATTTTTAATATCCAATCAAATAAAAAATTAATTTTTTTAAATTGAATTGAGTCTTTTTTAACTTTTTTTACTAAGAGGAAATCTAAAACCAACTCGTAGCTGACCATTTTAGCACGATGGTACTTCGATTTTGAGATAAATGAGTGTTTAGTTCCTAAACTTTCCAATTTTTCTTTATTTAATTCCTAAACTTTATTTTCGTATATATCAATCTCGAAATCTCCTAACATTTTTCAACATACTCTTTCAATGTATTCTAATCTATCGACTCTCTAAAATTGTACCTAGCAATGTGCATTCGATCTGGATTTAATAGATTTTGATTCGACTTGATCTTATAGAGTTAAATTTTTTGTTTTAAAAATTTAAGTTCAAATCAAAATCATAAAAAGATAAGATAAAGATGAGTTCAAGTTCAAATCTAAAATAAGAAATATTCGACTCAATCCGATCTGATAATAATAATAAATTTTACCTTTTGTATATTTAACTTGAATTAATAATGGACTAAAAGTAAAAATTTAATTATCCAAACCCGAGTCTATATAAGTTTAAGATAAAAGTAAGGGTCCATCTAAGACTAGGAGAGGTATAATCGTGAATAAATAAAAAAGTTGGGGGCTAAGCTGACAATAAATTGGAACAACAAAATCCCAAATTTTCCATTTACTTATCCAAAGAGAAGATTTTCCCACCATTTCCCGCATCCGCAAAAACGAAACCCTAGATTCGAATGACAGAATCAACTGATAGAATCAAAAAGAAAGACGAAGGCAACCATGGAAGAGGAGATTAAAGAAGAGTTCTTGAAGAGTGGGTTTACTCTTGACGAAGAAGAAGATGTACTTAAAAAATATGAGTTTTCAATTTTAAAATTTCAAATTTATCGTTCTCTTTTTTCTCAATAATTAATGGTAAACAAAGACCTGAGTTATTTGTTTATTTGGTTAGGCCATACTTTTTCTCGAGATTACAGTCTTCATCCTTCCAAAGTCGTTTCAAGCTGGGAGGTTTATTATCTCAATCGGTATTCTACTAATTTAGCTAATCCTCTTTTGTTTTGTTAGTATTTGTATAAGGAGAAATTTGTTATATGATTTCGTTTTCATTGTTTTTGCTTAGCTTTATAGAAGTGTTGATACTCTGACTAAAAAACTACTTTCGGTGCAGACAGCTTGATGATCCTGTTGTAAGGGATGCTGAAATGGATGGGTTTTTAGGACACCTGCAGAACGAACAAGCAGGGACGGGTGTTAAAAAGGATGCTGATTCGCATGTGTACTCTTTTAAAGAAGTTGACATGTGAGCATTTTTCCATGCTATATTGTTAGGTTATCACTTGATTCTTTTGCATTTGTATATAGTTTTTTCTTCTTTCTTTTTTTTTTTTGGGGTGGGGGGGGGGTTGGACAAATCATTTGCTTGTTTGATTGAATGGGCCTAAGAGGATACGAAACTTGTGTACGCTTGTTGAATCCCGGTATAAATCATATGGAAGAGTTGTTAAAATAATCCAAACCTATCATGTTCTGCCCTCACCCTAGAGAAGTAGTTTTCTGGAAATCGAATTCTAGTTAGGCCAGGTCACGTGGTTTTTCCATTGAAATTTTTGGGTTGAGGTTGTAATTATTTTAGACAAAATCCACCTATCAAGGATATTTACTAATATACCTTTCTCTTAATTTTAGAACTGTTATTTTTATATTTTAATTATGGCTTGTTAAGTTTGCTAAACTTTATCATAGGTTATATATATATAATGATTTGTATGTTAAAAGTTAGTTTCAAAGTTTGGCAACCAACTTTGAAAATGTTTTTCAAACTTTGGTAAATGTTTCTTTGAAAAATATTTTTCAAAGTTTGGTAAAGTTTGGTAGATGCTTGTTGAAAATAGGAATGAGTAAATTCACTTTAGTCATTACACTTTAGGGTATTTTTAAAGATTAGTCCCTAAGTTTCAACTATAAATACCCTATCTCATTTAGCTTCAAAATTATCCCAAATCCCAAAAATCATTTCTTTCTCCCATTACTAGAGAGCTTTCTTGTGAGTAGTGAATGTTTTGTAAACACCTGTAAATTTTCTCTCTTAGTAAAAGATCTGCAACAGTCCGGAGACGTAAGCAAAATTGGTTGAACTCCGTTATCAATTTCGGGTATTATTTTTCCGCTTTTATTTCGCATTCTCACTAATCTGATTATAGGAAAATTACTTGTACTCGGTTTATTTCCTAACAACTGGTAATCAAAGCTTTTTGTTGTGATTTTTTTCAATTTTTGTAAGGTTACTATTCACGTGAATAGTAAATTTTGTGAATAGTAAAAAATTTGTCGGTGATACAAGTTTGTCGACGGAGGTGTTATAATATACGGTGGTTCGCACAAATTGTCAGAAACGATCCGAAGAAGCTAGATTCGAGTGGAGCGATGGCTGCAGAAGAAGGGAAGGTAAAAATTGAAAAGTTAGATGGTGCGGACTTTGGCTTTTAGAAGATGCAGATTGAAGATTTTCTGTATCAGAAAAATCTATATCAACCTCTCTCAGGAAAGCAACCAGAGGGCATGAAGAATGAAGACTGTACTCTTCTTGACAGACAAGACCTCGGAGTTATCCGACTGACGTTATCCTGCAATGTTGCTTTTAACATAGCAAAGGAAAAGACCACGGCGGGTCTTATGGCGGCTCTCTCCAGTATGTATGAGAAGCCATCAACCTCAAACAAAGTTCATTTGATGAGGCGATTATTCAATTTACGGATGACGGAAGGGGCATCGATGGCACAACACCTAAATGAACTCAACACAATCACAACCTAGTGAGTTCAGTGGAAATTGAATTCGATGATGAAGTTCGAGCTTTAATTCTCTTATCATCTCTACCAGACAGTTAGAATGCTACTGTTACAGCAGTCAGCAGCTCTCGAGAAACAACAAATTAAAATTCGACGATGTTCGGGATCTGGTATTGAGTGAAGAAATTCGACGGAGAGAATCGGGTGAAACATCAACCTCCTCAGCCTTGCACACGGAGTCCAGAGGGAGAACTTCAGAAAGAAATTCAAATCGTGGCAGATCCAAATCCAGAACGGGAAAGAAATATTTTACCTGTTATAACTGCGGCAAGAATGGTCACTTTAAAAGAGATTACCGAGCACCAAAGAAAAATATCGGCGTACATGAATCTACCAATACGACAGAGGAGACAGGTGATGCCATGATTCTAAGCGTCAACAGTTCGATTGAATCATGGATCTTGGATTCAGGGCATCTTTCCACTCTACCCCATGCCGAGAAATCATGGAGAACTATGTCAGTGGTGATTTTGGGAAGGTTCATCTAGCTGATGATGAAACCTTGAAGATCGTCGGAAGAGGAGACATCCGACTAAAGCTGCCAAACAAGACCACCTGGACGCTGAAAGGTGTGAGACATATTCATGGCCTAAAAAGAAATTTGATTTCCGTAGGACAACTTGATGGAGAAGGTTATAGTACAACCTTTTCAGGCTGTGAATGTAAGATTACAAAATGAGCACTCGTCATTTCTCGTGCTAAGAAGACTGGTACTCTCTATGTAATATCAAACTTAGAGAATATCATTGCAGTAGCAGATACTAATGGAAAATCAAACCTATGGCACCAAAGGCTTGGCCATATGAGCGAGAAAGGGATGAAGACACTTTTGTTAAAAGGGAAGCTGTCGGATCTAAAGAATGTAGATGTCGGACTATGCGAGGATTGAATCTTTGGAAAACAAAAGAAAGTTAGTTTTGCAAAGATTGGTAAGACACACAAGGCTGAAAAGTTAGAGTTGGTTCATACTGATGTATGGGGACCATCTCCAGTTCCATCTCTTGCAGGCTCATTATATTATGTCACCTTCATCGATGATTCTACAAGGAAAGTGTGAGTTTATTTTCTAAAGAAAAAATTAGAAGTCTTTGATACCTTCAGAAAATGGAAGGCCATGGTGGAAAATGAGATGGTCTGAAATTCAAGCGGTTGAGGTATGATAATGGAGGAGAGTACAGAAATCGTAGATTCAGAGAATTTTACACAAACAATAGGATCAAGATGGAGACAACAGTTCCCATGACACCGCAACAGAATGACGTAGCAGAACGTATGAACAGAACTCTGAATGAACGTGCCAGAAGCATGATGATACATATTGGATTGCCCAAATTTCTATGGGTTAAAGCTATCAACAATGCATTTTACCTGATCAACCGTGGCCCTCAGTTCCTTTAGATGGCAGAATACCAGAGGAAGTTTGGAGCAAGAAAGAAATAAACCTTTCAAACTTAAGAGTGTTTGGTTGTATTTCTTATGTATACATAGACTCTGCTGATAGAAGTAAACTTGATGCCAAGTCCAACAAATGTGCCTTTGTTGGTTATGGCGGTGATGAGTTCGGTTATCGGTTTTGGGACTACGAAAATCGAAAGATCATCAGAAGCAAAGATGTCTTTTTCAATGAGAATGTGATGTACAAAGACATGTCAACTGTAGAATCAAGTAGCTCCAATACCGAAGCTGAAACAAAGAATTTGCTGAGTTCTAGGAGATTTCTAGAAATGATGTTCCGATCAATCCTGAAGCAGTTCAAGAAGAACCAGGCACACCAGAACTGAGACGCTCCTCCAGAATTCCTAAACCAACCCAACTGTATTCTCTTTCTTTGCACTACTTATTGCTGACTGATAATGGTGAACCAGAGTGCTATGATGAAGCAGTGCAAGTGGAAGATTCAGTCAAGTGGGAGTCTTCCATGAAAGATGAGATGGACTCGCTTACGTCAAATCAGACGTGAGAATTAGCTGAATTACCACCAGGCAAGAAAGTGCTCCACAACAAGTGGATTTACAGGATCAAGGAAGAGCACGATGGGAGCAAACGCTACAAAGCGAGATTGGTTGTCAAAGGTTTTCAACAAAAAGAAGGTATTGACTACAATGAAATTTTCTCTCCAGTCGTGAAGTTGTCTACAATCAGGCTGGTATTGAAAATTGTAGCTGCAGAGAATTTACATCTTGAGCAGTTATATGTAAAGACAACTTTCCTTCATGGTGATTTGGAAGAAGAAATCTATATGAGGCAGCCAGAAGGCTTCATAGAGGCATGCAAGAAAAACCTGGTATGCAAGTTGAAGAAGAACTTGTATGGTTTAAAACAAGCTCCTAGACAGTGGTACAAGAAGTTCGATAACTTCATGGGTAGCAGTGGTTTTACCAGATGCCAAGCAGATCATTGTTGCTACATCAAGAGGTTCGATAATAGCTTCATTATTTTATTGTTTTACGTTGATGACATGCTCGTTGCAGGCTCAAACATGCAAGAGATTATACACTTGAAGCAAAAATTGTCGAAGCAGTTTGCTATGAAGGATCTGGGCGCTGCAAAGCAGATTCTTGGGATGAGGATCAAGAGAGACACAAAGTTGGCAACCAACTTTGAAAATGTTTTTCAAAGTTTGGTAAATGTTTCTTTAAAAAATGTTTTTTTAAAGTTTGGTAAAGTTTGGTAGATGTTTGTTGAAAATAAGAATGAGTAAATTCACTTTAGTAATTGCACTTTAGGGTATTTTCAAAGATTAGTCCCTAAGTTTCAACTATAAATACCCTAGCTCATTTTACTTCAAAATTATCCCAAATCCCAAAAATCATTTCTTTCTCCCATTACTAGAGAGCTTTCTTGTGAGTAGTGAGTGTTTTGTAAACACCTGTAAATTTTCTCTCTTAGTAAAAGATCTGCAGCAGTCCGGAGATGTAAGCAAAATTAGCTGAACTCCGTTATCAATTCGGGTATTATTTTTCCACTTTTATTTCGCATTCTCACTAATCTGGTTATAGTGAAATTACTTGTACTCGGTTTATTTCCTAACACTGTATTTGATTTAGTTGGTAGTTTTTTTAGGATAGAGTTTAAGTTATGGGGCAGCTCAGGGTTGGGTTTTTTTTTTATTTCGGGGTCAGTTGAGGGTAGTGGAACTTAAATTAAGTTCAGGTTTGGTGCAAGTGGGGGATCGGTGGAAAGAAATGAATCTCTAGGCTCTAATTGTTGTTGAATCCCTCAGTAGAAATCGTATGGCATTTGTGGATGTTCTTATTTTCTTGGTAATTGTGGTGAATTTCCTCTTGAAGCATTGCCAGGCTTCTAGTTCTGTGTTTTGGAATACATTGCACAGTTTCTAATTAAGTTAGTTTTTAAATCATGGGATGTGATTTGGCCATGGTTTTAGGTATTGGGGATGGAGATACAAACAAAGTTATTCTTGGAACTCCAACAGAGAAATCTCATAAAC